ACACACACACACACACACACACAGAACCAACAACATAACCTCCTTGGCAGAGGTAATTACTTAGTTTTCTACATGAATTATTCAGAAAATGCAATCTGATCTTCATCTAAGTCACAAACTGAGACAAACACAGTGTGCTTAAGCTAATACTACACAAACAATTATCATTTATATGCATCTTTACTGAACTGAGCCATTAAACATTCAAAATTCTACTGGAAAAAGTACGTGAACCCTTGGATTTAATAACTGTCTGAAATTCCTTTGGCAGCATTAACCTCAAACAACTGTTGACCTGCACAACATTCAGGGGGAATTCTGGACCATTCTTCCTCACATAGCTGCTTCAGCCAAATTCCTAGGATGTCTGGTATAAACAGCTTCCTGAGCTTAGTCCACAGTAACTGTGTTGGGTAGAGGTCTGGGCCCTGACTGGGACAGTCCATATGACACATTTTCTTGTTCTGAAGCCATTCTGTAATAGATTTAGGGGCTTAGGGTTACTATCCTGCTGCACCACCCAACTTCTACTGAGCCCGAGCTGGCAGATAGCCACTCTGACCTGACAATACTTATGGTATTGCTTTGGTCTGTATACGCATTCACCAGTGTGTAAAATATTTTTCTTCATTTCTCAGGATCACTCCCTTTAAATTCCTTGCTTAATCAGTCATTCTGATATTTTCCTATAGCTACACGAGGTATTACACCAAATGAAAACACAAGATGGCACTTGCTCCTTGATGACATCAGTTTCATTCCATAAATTTGTTCAATATTCTCAAGTTTCATTCAATATATTCAGACTTTGATTCAATATTCTCATGTTTTCCAGTCAATTTTCTCATAATTAACTTCCTAAACAGCAGGCCATGAAAAAGGAGCGGTAGCTATATGACACGATTGGCAATATGGCCACCTAGGGGAGAAACTAGCATGGTGACAAGCATGGTTTAATTCATCCGATTACCTTGTCCTGTTTATTAATGCCACACCACAGTAGAGCTCTTACATTTGGCAGTGGATTATTTTAGATTGATAATAAGGTGAAAAGAAATGATTTGTTGTTCTAATGTCAAAATACAAGCTGAGGCATAACTGGGTCAAGGTGTGCTTGACAGACAAACTGGTTATTATTATTAAATGCAGAAGAATGCAAAGAAATGTGCAATACGCCATAAAACATCTAGATAATGTTCTTAATGTATGTTGAAATAAATATTATCATAAAGATTAATATCTCCATATTTTTACCTTTAACAGTAGTAGTTGTCGTAGCAGCAGGCAGTGGAATAGTGGCTAAGCAATAAATATTGAAGAAAAAAATTGTGAGATTTGGGTTATAAGAAGGGATATTAAGAAGTGTTTACAAACTCAGACCACCAGACAAGATGGCGATTGCAGTGAAGCCTCCAATAGGCCTGATTTACCGATTTCTGATTTCGCCAGAACTACACAGCCAAAACGGGAGCAATTCAGGGAATGCAAGAAGGCTCTACGTGCTCGGATTATAAAGTTTGCCCTGCTGTATCTACTGGAGGACACAAATGATTTGACAACCCGAAGACAGCGATCGAATATATTGGCAAAATGGGAAATGAGTGACACTGGTGAAATAATTTTATAGGGGAAATGTGCCTAGTTTTGGACTTTATGTGATCCAGCAGCAAGTAAGAAGTAAGTGAGCTGGGAGTTAGGTTTCAGGACTTTGATGTTGCCCCCCAATTGTATTCCTGCAACAGACACATTTATCCCCAGCTGAGGCAAAGAAACTCTGTAGAGACTGGGTGACAAGTCTTCTCTAATGTGGGTCCATAGATTGCATCTCTTTATTTCCTATTCTTTCTCCTGTTTGATTGCACATACACCCTATTTGAATATACACATTTAAATTTTTTTTATATATTTTTATTTCAAGTTGCCTTACAAAGCACGTTGAGAGATTCTGTACCGAAGTCAAATTCCTCGTGTTTCTAAACATCCTTGGCCAATAAAGCTGATTCTAAAAAGCGCACTTATCTCAGACTTGCACAGTCTTATGTACAGGTTGGCCACAATTAAGGACACTGGAGAACCCAAGACACAGCCACGCTCAAGTCTGCAAAAGCCCTTGTTGTTTTTAAAGTAAGTGGTTGTCAGGCAGAGGTCAAGCTGAAGAAGCTCCTCGGATGAGAGTTGCAATGTTTTCAAGAACCTCAAAGCAAGCCCAGTTGACCACATTTGGACTTTGGAAAAAAAGGAGTACATTGGATTATTGTACACCAACTTCCACAACAGTGCACTGCCAACTTTAGTACAACGTCAAATCTACATTGTTGAAGTATATAGTAAGACCTAACAGATCTACTGGGTTCCTGGTTTCTAGAGTCAGACAGGTCTACATTCTACTCAGTCTTTCTAATTGGATTAAGTAGGGCCACATTCTTCTCAGGTTCAAGGTCAAAGTGCTCTCTCTCTTTCAGTCTCTCTGGTTCACCTACATTTTGGATCTGGCATCTTTTTTGAGAAATGAATTAATGCAAATGAAGTTTAAGTGGGTTCTCCAAGATTTTGGATCTGTGACTACCTCTTGAATAAAGCATGCACCTGGGACACAGCCCATGTAAGTCTCTACAATGACCATAGGCATTCATAAACAAAACAATATGACAAAAATATTGCCACGATATGTGTTAAGGTACTTGATTTTAATATATATGTAAAAATATTTCAGGGATGATGAAAAGATGATCCATTTCTAGTTAGGTTTTCTTTAAAGCCTGACTTGGCAATAGAGTATTTATCTGATATGTGATGGGCTTTCAATAAAACTCTGCTGACATGTGCACAACCAATAGTATATTTAAAGAAATGTGGATTTGGTTTGACAGATGAGATGTGACAGGGAGCTATGAGGAACCTTGCTGTCCCATCAGCTAGTTTTGACTCCAAAATGTCTCCACCTATCTCCCAGTATGTAACAAAAACTGGAACCCTTCAGTCTCACACAGTCCTGGGTGGCAGTTGCCGTTTGTAGATTCCTGCAAGAGCTTTGGCAGCACTCTGGATCATCTGACGCTGGTTCATGCCTGTCGCAGCCTGATGCCAGTCTGTTCTGTTGATGTTGGGCAGGCTGCGCTCCAGGACCTCACCCACCGTGACAGTCAGACCTGACCAGCGCAGGCTGTAGTCAGGAGCGGTCAAAGCCTGAGCCTGCACAGGGAAAGTTACAAAAACAGTTTGATGAGTTGCTGGAGGTTTCTGAGTGAGTGAAATTAAATAAATCTTCTGAGGCTTAAGATGATACTTGTCCCAATCTGTGATGATAAACCAAGGTGGTTGAAAACAGAAGTGGCTAAAGATGGGGATGAAATGAATAAAAGATAATAAAAGATACCAGTGCCAAGGACAGTAAAGTATTTGTTTTCAAAGAGGATGCAAAGATGCAAGTAAATTATATGACAAGTATCTGTAAAGGAGCACACTGGAACCTTCTACTCCAATTTTATTTCTCTTCTCCAAAGTATGAGGTAACCAAAAAAGTTGAAAAAAATCTTAATAGTGACTGGTATGGAGGGTTGTATTTCAAGATTTAAATCCTAATTTACAAGGAAAACTATTTCAAGTATGATGTATATGTTAAACAGGTGAGAGAAGTCCATAGGTTTTTTCTTTGTCAAATGAGATGACATGAATCTTTACCACTGAGCACCATACTGTCAGACATTCAAAAACTGAATTCAGTTCTGTGCAATTCAGTTTTATTTGTATAGTGCCAAATCACAACAAAAGTCATCTCAGGACCTTCCTATTATTATCATTATAGAGGAAAATCCCAACAGAACCAACTGAATGTTTAACCTGCCTTCTTCCTAATCTACAGTAATCACAACAGAAGAACTTTTGTTCTTGTTTTCTGTATAACTGTTAACTATTGAGCACAGTCCGTGCTCCTAATCCTCTGTGGTACGAGTGCATGTGTCACCTGTGTTTCACAGCTACTGGTGTGTACCTGTTGCACGTGATCTAGAGCCAGAGGAGTTGCCTGAGTGAAGACCTCGATGTGGATGTTGTGACCAGGGTCCTCCAGGATCAAACAGCCAATGTCAAACCACCTGGAGACATAAAACATTTCTGAAAATTAATGGCTGTTATGTCTGCATCTGTTTTTATTAGGATTTAAACATATGGAATTGATTTTACTGTAAACGTGGACAATTCAGATGAACTGCTGGACAGACAATTGCTCAGTGTCATTAAACCTATAAAGACCACTAACCTTAGGCTTCTTGTAAATGGGTAAATTCTAAAACTGTTTACAGATATAAACAATACATAATCAAAGTCTCTTGTGGATGAATGCATTTTTAATATTGTTGTAAGGTGCTGCATCAAAAGTGGTGAATCCAGTGCAGAAGAACCTTAAACCAATTCCTTCAATGAGCCCTAGAACATGTCTGCAAGAAGGCTATTTTGAGGTCATTAGAAAAACCCTCAAACGTCTCTCTGACATACAAAGTAGTGCTGTAACAATCCATCAGAAATATTCACTGGTGCTTACTCTACATAAAACATACATGAAGAATTGTCATTTTCCAGCACACCAATAGGCCTCCAAGCAGCAATGCTGACATTTAACCAATCAAGGGCGACTGCTCTGTGCACCCCCTCTCTCTCGCACAACTGGAACTTGATTTTCAACTCCCTCTCTTGAGGGGTGCTGAAACGTAGCTCCCAGAACACACCTCCACCGGAGGGCGGTGGAAACAAACACAGAACCAGTGACGAGCATTACTCGGCTCGACACATTTTGATAGGTTCCTATAATGGAAAAACCCCTATATTTCTGACACACCCTCAAAGGACTGTTTGAGGGTAAAAAGACTTTGTTAGAGTGAGGGTGTGTGCTGCTGTCAGACCGATGTGTCTTCTTACTTGTCTGGAAAGAGCTCCGCAATGAAGTTTTCCAAAGAGACCACTGGCTGCTTTTCATGGATCACACCAGCTCGACGCAGGCTGTCAATACGTTCCTGAGCCCCCTGCACTCACACACACACAAACACAAGGATGACTGAAACTGAACACTCTTCAATAGAGGTGCTCAGATCCCGGGTCAGGTCTTTGTCACTTTGGACATTCAAAGGAAATGCCTTATTAAAGCTATAAAGTTTAAATTTACAACTAAAAGCATCTTCTTTGTAAACCATAATGCTAAAAGAGACGTCTGTAAAACTGTTGACATGACATCTCAAACTATAAACCTTGTCAGTTATTACTCTATTACAAATTAGTGATCCATGGAGTGGTAGGACATGGCGGGAGGGGGGCATTATTGCCCTGAGTGACATTAGTGCTCGTCTAGGCAATAATGTGTATATGCATTGGACCCCACTATGTAGAGGCTAACCTGGAAGAGAAATGTTTTAATTTGTTTGGAGTATGTGCTAGGCAAGCAGCTTTCATTGGATTCTTCTAATCCAGCATGCAGTTTTCATAACACATCCATGGTCTGTAGCAGTTCCTACTTCATGGTGGCTGGTTAAATGCTGTGTGCAAATACATTGTACATAGCACTGTCATCATTTTGAGCCTGCCATTACTGGCAATTTGACCACTTCACTTCAGACACTTACCTGGTTAGAGATTAGCCAGCTACTGTATCTGACAAGGTAAAACTGCTGCCAACACTTCATCGGCTAGCCCTACCCATATTTATGACCACTGTTATCCACAACAACACATTTCTTCTTTTCCTCAGACCTCATGGCATTTTCTGACTATATAGGTAAATCATGTTACTTCGAAGAGAAGCAGAAATCAGCTTAACATCACGTTGAAACTGTTTACAAGGTTTTGGTCTGAACTGATATCAACAACTATGAAGGAAAACAATAGCGAAATGTGTAAAGCTCTATTAGTAATAGAGCTTTAATAGAGAGTAATAGTTTTACCATCTCTGATACAGGAAATTAAAAATAATAACAAAAAACAGGTTTGAGAAGCTGCAGTGAGCTGACCTTGATACCAGCTGCATAGCCCACAGGCTGTGGGGCGATGTTGGACTGGCCGGGCTCTCCAGTGACCATGGCCATCCCAAAAACCTCCTGAAAGGCATCTCTAACAGCCTCCACATTCCTCTCTGTATCTGAAGTCACTACAATGTCAATATCACCACCAGACTCTGGAAAGCAATAACACAGCACACACACGTTTGTATTCAGCTTTCTCCATTAAGGGGAAATGCAGTGATGACAACAGCAGACTGACTTACTGATGTATGGAGCCATGCCTGGATCCAGAGTGGTGATCATGGACTCCACAGAGTGTTTGGTTTTGTCCAGGACAGTCTTGACTACAGTGTTTCCTGCTACTCCCTGAGGACACACAGACAAAGCACAGGATGCGACTGTCAAAACAAATAAAATAAAAACAAAGGAAGTGGTTTTTTTTCTGAAGCTCATTTTTGCAGTTTGTCCTCAGAAACGTTGGCCAATGTTTTAATTTAGCTGAATTTACAGTATAAACAGTGATGGCAGAAAGGATTCCCATTGCTTCACATTTATTATTTCTATTGCATTGTAAATTCAGACTGAAATGGAAAAGAAGTTTGCATTTATAAAATGTGCCACAAGTGAAGGGAGGTGAATTCCTTCTGACACAACTGTGTCAGTGCATGTGGAATTCACACCTGTTGGGGCTTGACATATTTTGACAACTGCATGAACCAATGTCATGTGATGATGTGAACAGTGAAGGACCCCCCCCCCCCCCCCCTCTTCTTACTTTGTGGAGTTACTGTCCTGCTCTCACTTGGCTCTCTGTTGGATGGGTGAGCATACAGCTGTACACACGGTTACTATTTACAGATTTAGCAGATATAATACAAACTATACCGTCACATCAAAGCAGTGGTTGTAGCAATATTAAGGATTTAAATTAGATACTTATGCATTTAATTTGTTGGCCACTTTTTGCCATCCATCTTTTCACCGCTTTTGCAGAGGTGCCTTCCGTGCAAATTAACTCTTTAACTTAGCCTTGAACAAAAGCTCTCGCTCTGCTAGGGTGATGGACTGCTCTCACTCCTCAGACATCAGCATGTAGCCAATGAGAACCCAGCTGTCAATAGGTACAGTCAAGTCACTGGCCACAAAAGCGTGCACTTACAGTGTCTTGGATAATTAAATCCATCTTTTCTAATCCACAACTCAGGTGGAGGTTAAATAAACTAAATATCTGAATAACCTTAGCTGGAATTAGAAAAGCCATCATTACTCATTGATCTTGGAACTGTTAAGCAACATACAAAGAATACCACCGTGGAAGACAATGTAAGACATAGTTTTTATGATTCAGCTAAGTTGAATAATAATCCTGGTGATTTCCAACCTTGCTGATTGCAGAAAAATGTGAAAATCTTAGAGCCCCTACAGATAAGTCTACTGCAACACTACTGCATTCAGGCATGGTCCCACTCCTGAACTTCAGATTAAAATCTCCATTTCTTATGCTTTAATCAGTAAATCAGCATTTGGGCTTACATCTAGGGTCCACATTAAAGGTTGCTTCTAATAATTTTCTTCTATGTGCATCCATTATGTATGTGCATCTACTGTTCACCAGTAAAATGTAATTAACTGCACTGGTAACAAGTGTGATATCAGTTGTAATGTTCTGAACAATAACTGCCAAAGTTATGTCAAACCACATTTATGTACAGTGGTTTCACCTTGAAAAATCCCCAGATGCCTCCACTGGAGCCAACGTCTGTGGACACTCTGGGATCCTCCTGCTCCTCTGGGAAAGTGATGGGAGATCCTCAGGTGCTGCAGTTAGGGATGGCTCCTGAACCATGGCGTTGGGCACTACACCTGGAACATACGATGGGATAATTAAAAAAAATAATGCTTAAGAAAAACATACATGACACATGTAAACGTAGCAACTTTGAACTAGGAGTGTTAGAGGAGGATTATTAAGACTGAAACAAGAGAGGATCTAATGAAAGATGCTATTAGATGCAGCGTTTATGGAGCATAACCAGCGATAAAGGAGACTTTATCCTTTACGTCTCATCGGGTGGTTCTTTACCCTTTGGTTCATTCATTACAATCGTGGTATCTATACCTTGGATGATATTATCCTGCTGATAACATGAACTTGTCAACTTGTTGCTAAATGTTATCAAATTCAAAAACATGAGTCATTTTATTTAAATAACTTTTTGGTCCGGTTTCACTTATGCTTATTGGTGTTTATGACTAATGCAGACATAAAACACAAAAGTGGAAAAGAATAACATCATATCAACAGCAGCCATAAGATTAACATTTATTATACAACTACTGATAATAATTCCAATTAATAAATACAAAAAGGAAACAGGCCTACAAATACAGTTACATCCATCAATCCATTATCTCTACTGCTTAACCTGTATAGGGTCCTGGGGGACGTGTAGACAAACAACCATACACACTCACTCCTACAGGCAATTTAGAGTTTCTAATCATCCTAAGCTGCATATCTTTGGACTGTGGGAGGAAGCCGGAGTACCCGGAGAGAATCCACGCAGGCACAGGGAGAACATGCAGACTCAACAAAGAAAGGCTGGCGCAGACTTGACGCCTTCTGGCTGTGAGGCGGCAGCGCTAACCACTGCACTGCCATGCTGCCCACAGTAATATCAAGAATAACAGCATTTCTGTTAAACCCTAGCACCTAGGATAACACAGAACTGAAGGCAGAAACTGTAATATTAACAGATTTAAACTGTACATTGTTATTTATTGTGAAGTTGGACACTGATAGGCCATAAGACAAGTCAAAGGTTTTGGACGTGTAATGGGAAATTTTGGTTTACTCATATATGCCTTAAACTGTGGTGAATTCTGTCCACATAGAATATCTGAACTGTCTGCTCATTAAAAGATAGCACAAACTGTCCTTGAAATAGTATGCACTCCCTGATTCTGAGTACCATCTTAAGAGAAAGACTTCTTTCAGTGTGGGTGTATGTGTATGTGTGTAATCAGAGCAGGTGCCTTTTATCTAATCCTCCCTGAAACTTGTGTGTGAGACCCATGTGACCTTTCGAGCCTCTGCAGCAGACCACTCTAAATGCTGTTGTAGACTGCTCCTTTCTTGCAAGAAATAAATCTCACAAAGACAGTTGTGTCTTCTACTTTTATTCACACTCCTCACCAGTGACGCCTCAGAGGATGAGACTTCAGTGTATAGCAGTACAGAGAGGACGTGCCACTCTGTTCTGCTCGCTGTTTTCACTTCTAGGGTCATTTTGAGATGAGAAAATGTTACTGGTATCTAACTTGGTAATAACTGCGGCCTTCGCCGCAGCAAATTAATAAATACTGTCTATGTGCTGTGATTCTGACTGAGTTGTGTTCACAGTGAATCAGTACTGAAGGGCGGCTGAGACGAACTTTTGATAAAACCTCACTTACTGGTTTATTTGGTAATCTTGCTTTAGAAAACATTCTTGGAAAAGGTAAACCATTTCCACATGTTGACAATGCAAAGAGTGTGTTAGACAAGCAGGCGGGTGTGAGTCTTACCTGGCATGGTCACAGGACTGGTGAATGTTGGCATCAATGGTGTCTGTGGTGTTCGACCAGCATGACCCCGTGTGATGTCATATCCTGCACTCATGGAGAAGCTGGATACAGAGGGGCCTATAGGAGGGGCTGACATGCTAGGAGCTGAGGGGCCAGTTGGTCCAATGGAGGAGGTTAGAGGATGCAAAGATGAGGGAGCAGGCAATGACGGGGTGCTGGTGAAGGGGGAGGGGAGCGTGGTGGGAGTGAGAAACTGGGAAGAGAGGGAAGGTGGTGCAGGCACAGGACTGCTGAATGCAGGGAGGGAGGTAACATGGGGGCCATCAGTGGATCCCAGGGAGGACCCAGTGGAGATGGAGCTGGTGCCTGGCAGGGTCAGAGGGCTGGACAGACCTGAAACTCAAAGAAGTAATGTTACGCCTCAGAACTGCTTCTCAGTGTGTCTTTTGTCAAGAGCTCAATGTGCAATTTATATATAAATGCATAATGTAAAAATTTTGAATAAGAGTACTTAAATAACTGTAACCAAAATATATTGAACAGAACTTATCAAACAGGATATTTTACAACTGAAAATGAACTAACCAATGATGTAGTTCAGGCAGTACTGCAGCTTCCTGTTATTTATTACAACAAACTGTATATTAAAGTGTAGATAAAAATACTGTAAATCTGTGATAAAATCATTTTAATCAGTGTTAGAATATTTGCCTTGCATTTCCATAATTAAAGCTGTATTAACTAAGATACTTTACTGAACAGATTTATTTCTCCACCATCACAGCTCAATAATGCTGTTCTTTTTGGCCACCCATTTTGGGATGTCAGAATAACCAATTTAAAATTTTTTCCTACAAACCTAACGCTCATGATGTTGCAAAATGAACTATGGAAACCTGGTGTGTGAATAGGTCATGTCTTACCTTTGGTCACTGGAGGCGCAATGACTGTGGCAGCCAAAGTCAGAGGCGGTGTAGGGCTGGCAGGAGGTGTACTCTCAACCCGACTCTCTTCCATCATCTTCTTGGCCTTATACGGTATTAGGGTACTTTATACCTGCACTTCAGCAAAGAGAACAGCTGCAGTAAGATGTGATGAATTAGTGTTCCACTTGTTGCTACTAGCTCTCCTTCCACCTGTCGACATACACTGTCAATCCATTAAACCTTGTGAAGCAAATTGATCATAGACTGATTTACGTGAAATACGATGACAAAGTATAGGCTACAACAAATCTGAACACACAATACAATGTTAAATCATGTAAAACTGTTTTGTATTTCAATGATTATATTAGTTGAAGTAGGATATTTGATATAATGAATTACTAAAAACGTACAGTGAAAATACAGTGCAACAAAGGTGAGTAGGCTACACCTGTGATCACTGCACCAAAATCCAGTTTATCTGTGACCACTTCAACAACACTGAGTGCATAAAGACCTGGCACAAGGACTATCTGTAGAAATTTGTCAGTGACCAATCAGACAGTGTGGAAATTGCATGTAGTGAACCTATATAAACGGCAACCCAAGAAGAAAAGCACCGTGTCCACCATGAAACATGGACAAGGGAGTGTGCTGGTACTAGTCTGAACACATGCAAAAAGGGTAGAAGAGGTGACGTTTAAAGATGGAAGTATGAATGAAAGTTCATACAGTATGAATGAAAAGATGAGTCTCAAGGAGCTTGGCTGGATATGACTTTTCCATCATGAGAATTATCCAAACAAAATGTAAACATCACACAAAAGAAAAAAAAAATAGAAACTATCTCCTGTATGTCTGATCCAACAGAACATCTCTGGAGTATTTCAAAAAAGAAGGTAGAACAACAAAACCCCTCCAGCAAAAGCAGCTGAAAGGACTCATCTGTAATGAATGGCAGAACATTTCTTCACAGATTGGTGTTGGTGCCATTGGGGCCCATGATGGCACTGAAACTGGCTTTAACATTTGGTACCTCTACTGCCACATGCGAAAACTCATTTTGAATTATGTTTTCATGGATCACAGACGAGTCAAGATTCACACCCGAAAGGTCAGCCTGTGCGATCCACAGAGTTGAACTATGAACATTCTAGTTAACAGTGGAAAGTTATAAAGCTGAATGAGCACTTGCTGCAGCCTTGATTTGATTTGATTTGATTTATTTATTCTTTCAAGCATGTAAAGACAGTTGATATATCAACACACATAATTTTACACATATCCAACAAATGCTAATACATTATCAATTTGCTTATACCTAGTACATGCTTGAATGGAGTAGGAAGAAGTCAGACTTATCCAGTCCTACCCCATGACATCATCTTACCATCATTGGTTTGCAAGCAGTATCTCTACAAAATAATTCTCTTCTACACCACACAAGTAATATACTAAAGAATTATAACAGAGTGTTAACATTCATACACCACACCCACAATGTTCCATGTAATTAATCATTGAGCCTGTTCTTGCATATA